ACATCATTGTAGACTGTCTTCTTGGCATAACTGTGTCTCACACACAGATTGATTCCTCACCCACTAGTCCTCCATTGTTCCTCCTCCTTTTGTTGCCTTGCCACACCCCTCTTTGCTAACTTTCTCTATTTTAGTCTCCTGTGCCTCATTCCTCAGCCCTGATTGTCTATGCCTTCATTCTGGTCTGTCCCATCTCCATTACAATGCATGTCCTCCTCCCTCAAGTCCTTCCTCAGTTTTGGGACACAATTTATCACAACCATGTTTCTATTACTCCATTTGAATCCCAGCCCTGTCTTCCACTTCTCAACATTCCATCCCTTCTGATCCACCCTCACGCATTGGTCTTTCCTCAGGATATGATATTCCTTTTATTGTTGCTTGTGGGATTGTCCAGTCCACCTCCTTGATCATCTAACTGTCCCTTTGTTCTACTCCTGGTGCTCTTCTCTGTGCTGATGTATGGGACAAACTTATCACCTTGGTCTCAGTGTCATCATTTCCATTTGATTTCATTACATTGTATCATATTCTACTTATTTTATGGGATGGTTTTCCCATGAGCTGTAACTCTCTTCTATCTCGGGTTTTAGGGCTGCATTTCCATTTTTTTGCCTTTCTCAGGTTCACAGTTTCCCTTCTTCTCTGCCCATTTCATTCATTCCTTGTCTACTGCCCCTGTACCTACTTCTTGCCTTGCTCTTACCTGTATCCTTATCTGACCTCTAGAAGATGTTTCTGCTCTCCCTGGACTTACAAGTCCCATTCCTGTTGTACACATGTCTAAGCCTTTTTTTCCTACTGCTTTCTCATTACTACTATTCTCTTCTTCTTTGTTCTGGTTGGCCTGTCCTTCCCTCATATTCTATGGTAAGGGAAAGTGATCATTTCTTCTCCCATATCCCCTCCTTAAATTTCTCATTTTAGTGTTATTTCTGTTCTGGACAGATGCTTTTGTCTTGTCCAGACTGCTCAGTGTTTTGTCACACTGTTCCTTCTTGTGGTTCTTCTCATTATCCTTTTATAACTGGGACACCTCTTTACCCCATTACAGTTTGGATCTGCCAGCTCATATGTCTTGTATATGCCCCTCTTGAAGGCAGATGTTTGTACTCTCTCTCGATTCTCCACTCTTCCGTATTTCCTTCCTTTCTCTGGGCTGCATGTGGACTGCCCTACAATAATTTGTTTCATATTACACTATCTCCATCATTTGGTTGTCTCTACTCTAGTAGCCTAAAGACTTCCACCCATGCCCATTCTTCAATAACCCTACATCTGTAACGTGTGTGAGTATTAATTTACTTATTCCTTCCTCATCATTTTTCTGCTTTTGGATTCCACTAGGCAGCTAGTGTTGCCTCAAAGGGCATACTTACTCAAAATTCCACATTGGGCCAGGATAACTGAAAGAGCTCAGACCATCCACCCTGGTACAATCAGTGCCCACTGTGAGATTGTGTGTTCCACAAGACCACTGGAGTTCTACTTGTGGTATTTATATCTAACTATTTTTCCAGTTCGATCCAGACTGTACCCCTTCCATGTACTATCATGGAAAAAGCCAGCTCGAGAATTGTGCTTCTGCTCACTTCTCTGGCTAGCACTTGCTGGCTTTTAAAAATTGGGTTTCATGGTTACCTATTGCATTGTTTTCAGTAAAAGCTATTTCCAGACTGAAGGACCAATGGGGAATCTGGGTTTCCCCATTGTGAATTCTCTCCCTTCCCTCTTTCAGTAGGGCATGGGAGACCTTTGCCACTTACCAGCTGCTGGGGTGATGGACCATGGAGAATCCTCACTAATTGGGACTGAAAGAAGGTGTTAAAACACAAAGTCCCTCTGTGCTGAGAAGTGGGGTAGAGGTGTTTTCAGAATGTAGAATAGACTACACTAACCTATCTAGATACATCACAATCTCCGAGTGGATTTCAGACATACCTTTTACCTTTACCAATTCCTACAAAGACATGACCCCACTAATTTTGCTTGCAGAGTTATTGATATTTCTTCATATCCAACTGTGATGTATCACTCGTTAACCCTACATCTGCAGCTGGTGATGGGCCTGTAGAATCTGATGGTTGAGTGGTGGTTTTAATCAGTGTTTTTATTTTGTGTCTTTTTCGGTTCTCTACTCCTGCAACTGCCATGGTTGAGAAACTGTGCACAGATACTTTTCACATGTACCCTTCTCCTACAGCAGATATTGACCTGCAGAGACTGATGGTCAAGGGGGTGAGCATAATAGGTACAGTCTGAACATGCTCCAACCTTATTACACTAATTGGCTTTCTGATATACCTCTGCTGCCCAACCTTGTGACATCTTTCAAGCTTCTTGCCTCTCTCTATCCTTCACTCATATGAAGAGTATACCTTGATTGAGATGAGATGCAGTCTCCCACAAGTGTACCTCTATGGAGCTCCTGCCATAGGGTGTCACACCCCATGAGCTTCCTTTTAGCACTCTTGAAAGAAGGCTCATCTAAGGGATTTCTGCATCAGTCCATCTGCCATCTCAACATGGGATTATAGCTATTCTGTGCATGGAGGTGAGTCATTATCTCAGAAGTTAACATTTTCTTTACCTGAAAATGTATTTCCTTAGATACCTCCATGCATGTTCCTGCTCTTCCTCCCCACTTTCCTGGTGCACTTTTCTTGTTTGCCTTAACAAAGAATAAGAATTTTTGTGCTTGAATGTAGAGGATGCATTTGTGTAAGGAGGTTTGTCACACTCCTATTGGTGGAGGGTTTTGCTGCTTGATATGTCATCATGCAGTAGCACAAATTCACATGTTTTCATAGAAATTTTTGTATGGGAGTTTCCCAAGGCTGGTGGCATGCAAATTTCTAAGACAGAATAACATAACTTCAAGAGGAAATACCTATCAGAAATGGATTTTCAGGTAAGGAAAATGTTCAATTTTTATTGACTAAATTGTCCTGTTTTTGTATCCACAGAACAGTTTCACTGGCTAAACTGAGACATGTTCATAGTGTCCATTGCACTACAACAACTTCTGATAAATATTACAGCCCTTGCTGCTTTGTGTCATGCAGAAAGTAGTTCGTCAAATGCCTTGCAAAATAGAAATGGTACTGAAAAATAGAATACATAAATGCATATATAATTACTCTTTCAGGAAAACACTACTCGGATCATTAACCTTCACTCGTTGCAACATCACAGTAAGCAGTTTGAAATTTTTGTATCTTCTATTAAACTATAGGCATTGTGTAATATTATAATGAGGTTTATGTAATGATTTTTTAAAAAGCAAAGTAAAATAATTGTACCTTAAAATTTATTTTATTTATTTTTTTCAGAAGGGATTTTTCAGGAAATATTAAAGTGTAGAAGAGGAAATTTTTATTTTCTTATGGGTGTGTCAAAAAGTGTATGTTACTAGTTTATCATAGGCTTATGTAACATATTACATACTGTGATCACTGAATTGAGTTATGGCCCTACTGTGTGAAAAAGCAGACTCATTATTGGCCTTAATTAAGATCTAAAAATAGTTTTAATGGACAACTACTTCATACTTATCTAATGCCATCTAACAAATGCATTGTTATAACCTACATCATTTTATGCAATGTATAAACATTTATATTCTCCACATTAAGATGATTTCCCACTACCTGCTTGCAACTAGAAAGTTTATTGATTTTGACAGAACTTGTGAAGGAAGTTCTCTTTATAGGGATTCTCAGATTGTGGAAATTGGTATTTACTTAAACAGCATGAGCAGACAGGTGTGCATGTTGTCATTTCTGGTCAGGAAACATTCTACCTAGGAGCCCAATAATGCTTGTGGCACTTGATGATGGTTTATATTGAGAAATGATGACACATTTGGAATGAACATATCTTCTGTACTCATACTATCAGTTTCATCTTTAATACAATTTAGTAGGTGTACTCAGTTCTTCATGTACTTAGTTGTTGCTTGAGAGTCGGAATAAAAGGAAGTGACTCATAATGTCACTATATTTCACTTCTGTTGAATCATCTTTCACAGTTGTAAGTAGTAAACAGCATAATAATTTCAAGTAATTTCTTAATAATATTGCTGTTTCTGATAATGAAACTAATTTAAAGTACACTTTGCACATTGTAAAGTAATAATAATACAATATATTTGCAACCTACAACCATCATGCCTAACCTATTTGAATTGGGTTAGACTATGGAAAAAAGCATTAACTAGGTAGGTTACTGCCTATTGGTTTGAGTCAGCTAACTGTTTAACATAATGATTAACCACACTATGGTTCAGTATTATTTCAATTTTAAAGTCAGTTGTTTGATTGTCATAAAACTTAGAGGCTTGAAACATTCTGAATTTTATGTAAGCATAATAAAGTCGGTTGAAAGTTTTCCAGAAAAGTTGAGTGTAAAGCTATGTAAATTTCATACACATGGTTCTTGTTTTATGATCATCTATTTTTGTATGAAACTGTTGATTAGTATGAAAGTATTATGTATTTTTTATATTGCTTTTATGTTCGTGTGCGAGACCAAGTGTTACCACTATGTAACTGAGTAGCACAAAACAACAGTATATTGTCACAATAAAGACTATTTCGCTACCTTAAATGTGTTGCCTCATGCAAGTATGTTTGCTATATATATGGTTCATTTAGCTCTACTGTTAAGTTTGAATGACCCTGTAATATTCAATTCAGTTAAACATTGTTCTAGGGAATTGAAAGATTTGATAAAATTTGATTGTGGTCGAGTAATCATCTGTTATTGGATAGTATTTGATTAATTTACTGGCTTGCCAACCTTATACTCATTCATTTTCATCTTATAAACCATAAATTTGTATTTTTATTAAGAAAAGTAACTTGCAGACAATTTTATGATTAATTTCAGCTACTCACTAAAAATCTGTCAAAGTGCATGTGGAAGTATTTTCATAACTATTACAGATTTAGTTTTGAAATTGAATTGCAGGTTTTTATTAATATAATTTAATGTTTTAGTACTGAAACAAAAGAGTCCTCTGGTGGAAAGGAAACAGATTTTATTGCTCCTTCTGTACTCGCTTCTCCTAATGTAGCAGTATCTGGCCAAGATATGAAGTTGATTAGTAAAGAGAAAAAGAGGGTGTTGCATCATTCAGGCTGTGGTAAGTTAATGTAAACTCTACAGATTTATTTTGAATTCTGTATGTGAAACATATGTTCTAAGGAAGAAACTATATGGATTTTCAGAGAAAGAAACTGTTCTGCACTTTTTATTTTTCTTACAAAGCATAAACTCTAATCTGTGTAGTAGTAAATGTTAAAAGAAAGTAGTTATTAAATGCTTATATACAGGTCTTATAATAGATGAAATTAAACTTTCCCCTTCTGGTAAAAAAAATAGTTTTTTGCGTGGAGTGAGAAAGGATTAAAATTATTTTCATCTCTTAACGCACAGTTTTATTACTTTCAAGTTTCTCCATATTCAATGCCCGGCATGGCCAGGTGGTTAGGATGCTCGACATGCAATCTGCTGGTAGCTGGTTTGAATCCTCATCACACCAAACATGCTTGCCCTTTCAGCCATGAGGGTGTTATAATGTGATGGTCAATCCCACTATTCGTTGGTAAAAGAGTAGCCCAAGAGTCGGCAGTGGGTGGTGATAACTAGCTTCCTTCCCTCTAGTCTTACATTTCTAAATTAGGGACGGCTAGTGTAAATAGCCCTCGTGTAGCTTTGCGCGAACTTCAAAACAAACAAACCATATTTGAAATACCTTCTGGAATACATTAAATTTAACATCTCTATAAGAAATTTCTTAGTTAATAATATAGTTTGTTATAAATTTATTAGTGACATAAAGTTTGAAAACAAAATATATAATTACCAAACATACCTCACTTTGAGTGGGCTTAAAAAAAAGTATGTGATGTGTCACTTATGATTGCTATCCATCAAAATATAGTCCAAAACACAAAACCATCTATGAAGGGTATCAACAATAGTGTTATACAGAATAAATATCTTCTGATGGTTCAGGTAATGACAATTAGTATTAAATGAAGCAACAAACAAAACTGGACATATCAGAAACAATATCTTATCAATATCCTTGGGCTTCAACCAGTTTCTCCTTGCAGAGACTATCTCTGGCCTTTGAGAACAAGCATTCTGATGGGAGACAAAGGAACTTCTATGCCATTTTTTTCTCGCTTTGTATTTCCAAGAATCATCTGTCTATTTGTCAAAGTCCACTTAGGCTAGTTCAATTTCCTTAGAACTCTCTTTGACGAAATAAACTATTCTTCTTATCTCTTTCAACACTGTTAGTCTCACTCTAATATAGCAACCTTTAGGCCTTCTGCTCCTACGACAATTGACTTTGCATTTAACTTTTCTTTGACCAAACTTGTTCTCGTAACTTTACTCCTTGTCTGCTCTGTCTGTCTCCCTATTCGTATTTAGGCCAACTTCCAATAATTGTCTACTTTTTTTCACAGTCCACTCAGGCAGGTTCAGTTGCTTTAGAACATTCTTTGATGAGACATATTCTCCTGAAATGTCGGAAAACTGTTAATCTCATTTTAACATATCAACTATTAGGCTATTCATTTCTACAATGTTTTCTAACCATTCCTTTGGCTGCACTTTTACTTCCTGTGAGTTTACTATCTCAATTTGTTCTGTCTGTCTGCTGTTCCCACTCATCTCACACTATTTATATATTTATCACTTAATCATCTGCTCGCCTTCTATAAACCTCCATATCTTCAACATCAGTAAATTTCATGCGAAGTTTGATAGCATCAACATCAATGAATCTTAAACGCAACTTCCAATAATTGTCTGCTTTTAACTCTTATTATACAAAACCTAAATAATCATAAAATATTCATTCACAAAATAATTAATTAATACTATCTACACTAAACAGTCTTTTATACATGTATCATGACACTTGTCAAATGAACCCCACAGGCTTATAGCTGGAGCTTCTTCCAACGTGTATGGTGTGCTTGCATCACATTAATTTGTTTGGTCTTGCATGAAGCTGGTTATCTCACCAATCAGTTGATCTCTGGTTCTTTCTACAGTATAGGCATCCACAAATCCAAACTTTTTAATTTGTGGATCAAGCAGAGTTGCAGAAGCCACAATAAAGTTTTCCTCCAGTGGAGTAAGCCAATTGTTCACTTTGGTGAGCAAGCATATTTGACATTGATGAATTGCTAGTTGCATCACTTTTAAGGAGCTTTCATAGTCCGCATGTAAGGGCTACAATTTTTGTAAGAGTTCTTGTCTCCTGACATCTCCTTAGTGAGGATTTCAAATGGCGTATTTCACCTTGTAGACTTCCTCATTGGTTAAGCTCATGCATATATTTTGCCCAGTAGGGTCAGAGTTGATGAAATAGGTGAGTGCATGTCAACAAAATTCTCCAGCATTTAAAATGATGAATTCCATCTGGTTGGTACATCTGGAATGAGTTTCAGATCATCCATTCCACACTGGGTCTGAACTTCTCTAAGGCAATCTGATGCCTTGACTCTGTGATAGAAAAATGCCATTGCACTCTTGACTTTTTCATGGAGCTCCATGAAGTGCCCAACAGCTTTCATTCCATCAGTGACTGTGAGGTTCATTATGTGGGCATTGCAAGGAAGGTGTTTATAATGCAAAAGATTCATAGCAGCAAGTAATTTGTTGCATTATCTGTCACAATAGCAAATATTTTCCCTGTGATGCCCCAATCTTCCACAATCTTCTCCAGGTGTTTGGTGATGTTCTCCACTGTGTGATCACATTTCAGATTTCAAGTACACAGTACTGCTGACTGCAATATCCAATTCTCAACAATGAAATGGCATATGACTGTGATATACTACACTGCCTGCCAGAAGGTCCAGATATCTGTTGTCAGAGCAACAGCAAGTGCAAAAGAAATCTTGGAGTGGATAATCATCTTCACCTTTGTATACAGCTCTGGCAGTGCATTCTGGATGATAAATCATTGACTTGGCATGTCAAAATGGCGGTCGAGCCCCTGTACAAAATCATTAAAACCACTGTCCTTTTCAACAGAAATTAGCTGAAGATCCTTCACAATCATCTTCAAAAGTTTGTCACTCAAGTATTTATGTCAAGTATTCTCATGGAGATACTTCATTCTGCTAGCCATCATGGTTTGCAATGTTGGTTGGGTAGATCTGCTGCTCTCATTCTTTTTCTTTTCATCTTTTGTATGTACTGTTGTCTCCTGGTGCTGAGTTAGGTGTTTCGTTTTCAAGTGTTTTAGTATATTTGAGGTATATTTGGTATACTTTATGGTTGGTCCATCTGCAATCTCTCTGAAAAAGTTCCAAATATGACTTCTTCCTTTTTTGGGGATTATGTCTTGAAAAGTACATTATAGGACAGAAAAAAAACTTTCATTTATATAAAAAAAAAACCTTACTGGTTTGTGAATTCAGCCCATCACAATACAGAGCTATCAGTCTCCATATTTTTTCTCTGTTATAAAAAATATAGGGACTGATGGTGCAGTTTTTAAAAAGAAGAAAATAAAAAACAGTATATTGTTCGTTCTGAAGCAAAACCAATTAGTGTTGACCATTGAAAATGACTTGATCAGGAATGAATTTGTGCTAAAGGGAAACTCACGAATATCAAGTCAAGAAAGCAATGAATGGCCCAGACACTGCCTTTTTTATAGCAGTGCTTCTTCCTGAATAAAGGAAAAGAAATTGAAGTATTATATGTATTTGGTGTTGAATACAAAGGTTTTAATCTGTCAAATGACATACTATATTATATTGTTTTCTGTACAGAGCATTGTCTATTTCACTTCCAGTTCAAACTTTATTCCCATGGGAGACACACTGATGAACTTAGCTGAATTTTTTATGGCTTTTGTTGCATAATTAGAATTGGTGTTTATGAGGTCTGTCAAATTGACCAACCTTGTATAGAGCTATGGAAGAGAAAATAACATACAAAATATAAAGTTTTACTGAAAAAAATGTTTGAAACTTATTTAGGAGGTTTTAGAGATTATGCAAATGAAATTTGAGATTTTTCAGATGAAGAAAAGTATCTTTAATCTTAACATGACTGCTCTGAGTGTAAGGTGATTTTCAACACTTTGATTCCATATATTCATGAAGAAAGTTTTAGTGAAATCACTTCATAAAAAAAATTCTAATTTTTTTGTCTGCAAATGATTTAATAAATAACCCTTTTGTGATGGACGGGTCTAACTGAGCATGTCAGTCTTTTAGATAGTTATTTTCAAAGTTTTATTAAGTAATATTATTATTACTATATATCAATGAAATTGTCATCAAAATGTAGTTTATATTTCAAATTGTAATATTATGTATGTTTTAATTCCTTAATCAAAAATAATTATAAACAAAAGGTAAATATCAATTTCTGTGTCACATAGCACCTCCGAAGAACTTGTTGATTGGTTTATATGTTTTTTATGCCATATACGTCTACAGTTGGTTAATGAATTAGAAACTGGAATTTTAGATACTCGCAAGCTCGAATATATATTTAGAACCTCCCACCACTTTGATTTGCTGAGACATCAGTATATTTAACAAGTCAACTAGAGTAGCTTATCTTCGTACTCCATTCTTTCCATGTAGTTAGGCCTGCTGAGCTTGTGTTTTTCTTATTGTCTAAACTGAGGTATAATGAAAACAAGTGATGCAACATTAGAAACTTTACATCATATATTTATTCATAACATTTAGAAAGGTACAGTAAAAGGAAGCAATGAAAAGTTGTACATACTCATGTATATAAATGTATGCAAATATTTACTCGTGTACATTCAAAACTGAAACAAATGTAAAGGTAAACATTGTATACAACTGTTCAAGAATGTGAATAACTTTCAGAAACATACATGAAGCTCTACACAGAAAAAAACTATGAAATGAATGCAAATCTATAAACATGTATTTCACATAACTATATATATATATATATATATATATACTTACATTTAGAAAATGCACATGAAAGGGAGTACTATACATACAATTGTATAAAAAGAAAACTGCAAAAATATGTAAGTTATACAAACTGATATACAGAATTTTATACAAATGTTCCAGAATGTTAAAACTTTCAGAAAACATACATGAAGCTCTGCACAGGAAAAACTATAAAATGAAAGGAATAATCATACATACAAGTGTATGAATAACAAAAGAAAGCTTTACAAAAATATTTAAGGCAAAAACATTGTAAAAAGAAACATTGCTGTACATTCAAATACAAAAAAAAAATGGTAAGATGCTAAGACACTCAGATGTCTAAGATGTTTGTTAATTTTTAGAGAAAAAGAAAATGTTTGTTAGAGGAAAATAAAGAACTGTATTTGTAAAAGGAAAAGAGCAGACACTTTTACCTAGTACATAAACAATACTTCATTGAAACTTTCATAAACAGATTTATTTTCATTTTATTTTGTTATAACATGCAAAATAAATCGGCTAGGATAATTTCAGCAGCGTTGGTTATGTACTAAGTAAAAGCTTAACTTCTTTAAAGAGTATAACTGATATGATACTCTTCAAAGTGTTTCATACAAAGATACACATCACAGAGTGTACACTTTGTGAGTACCCTATAGTCTGTAAGGCACAGTCTGCATCTTTTATATTTGCCTTTTTTTGACAAGTGGTGGATAATGCCTGTTAAGAGTGAGTCTCAGAGGAAAAAGAGTACTGTGCAATTCTTGTAAGTAGAATACCAGAAGGACTGGGTCTGCTCTGAAGTAGAGGCTCAACAAGAGAAGTGACCATCTCCATCCAGCTGATTGGTCTTTGTCTTATAGAGAATAAAAGCATTGACTATGGTCAAATCCAAAAGCTGGAAAAACAGTATTTTGTACCATTTTACTGACTTTTGTCCAGTTGAATAGTAGCTGAGGTCATTGAGGTCCACTCCTCCCATAAACATGTTGTAGTCTACAAATAGCTGAGATTTTGTAACCTCAGCATCCCTTTCACTTCTTCTTATAGTTGTCATGGCACTGAAGTGTAAAATAGAAAGGGCATAGATGTCTCGTTTGTCAATCCACTTCACTACTGTCAGACTTCCACATTCAAAAAATTGTGCTTCCCCTCACTGTAGGGTTGTTGCAACCAGTTCCTGTTGGAAATGCGGTTTGTCTTTCCTGCATGTCCCACAAGCACAAGTTCCAACAGCCAATAGTTTATCATATTAAACAAGGAGAAGTGTAGAAGTTGTCCATGAAAAGAGTGTCCTAGTCTGTTGAATCCATCCATTAGGCCCGTGACAACGTTGTCTGCTAAACCTCTGGTTGGCATTTTCCCTCCTTGCTTGTTTAGATCTTGAACTTTATACAGTATCTGCCAGGACCCACAACTTGATACCCCACTTGACTGGTTTCTTTGGTAAGTATTGGAGGAAACCAATCTTATATTTTGTACCCAACATTTGCTCATCTGTAGACAGTTCCCCGTTAGGAGAATATTGGGAAACAATGGATTTCAGAAGAAGGTCTGTGATAGTTATAATCTTTAAAAGTTTATCATGGCTTCGGTCAGTTCTAGGAAAAGCATTTGAGTTGTTATTGAAATATAAATAGTTATGGATAGCTAAAAACCTGTCCCTAGAAAAGATGTTAGTAAACCAAGGATTATGAAAGGGAAAATAGGTAGATCAATAGTCAGAAATAGAAGGATGAGGCTTAATGCCCATAACTATAGCTAGACCAAAGTAAGGTAAGAAATTTTTAGCAGTAATATCTGTCCACATTATAGTTTTTTATTTCGAGGTGATTCATTCTGATGTACTTATTTTTCATGTGCATATCTGTTTGTTTCACCTACAATTAGGTGCAAAGCTTCCACTGTAAAAAGAAGTTTGAAAAAGTCAATTGGTTTATTCAAAGATGTGACCTGTATTAAGACAGGTTCACCTCTGTTGAATGAAGGTATCTGGTGGTGGTGGTCTTCTCTGATGATCTCCACCCATATCCAACTGTCATTATATGCAAGATGCCTCTCTTGTGGGGAAGGATCAGTCCAAGCATTCACTGGAGCTCTACCCATCCCTCTACTCCTCTTAGCTCTGCCTCTTCCCTGTGGGGTGGTGATATTTTGTTGATGTACCTGGCCTGGGAAAGTCCAGAACATCCTCATCAAAATGAGTTTCACCAGCTACATCTTTTTTGTGTTCATTAGACAGAGTCAAAAAAGAGCTGGTACGAAACTGTAGATTTAGTATTTTGACTTCATAAACATCTAATTTGAACCAGTGCTGCATTCAACATACCATGTGACACACAAAAACCATGTTTATCTGTTTTTTATATATATTTACTTTTAAATTAAGAAATTGAGTAATGTACAGTTCTAAAATTTGAATTATAATCTACATATGGATACCAAACTTATTGACATAAATTCATGAAATAGTAGTTCAGTAAAATTTTGAATGTGAGTCAACAAACAAGATGACACCTATGACCCATCTCAAAAGAGATAAACATATGATCTATGATCGGTGTAAGAACAAGTGTTTTATCTGCTTCTGTGACAACAGGTGTTCTATGATCAGTGTAAGAACAAGTGTTTTGTCTGCGTATGTTCTATGGTTGGTGTAAGGATAAGTTTTGTATTTGCTTCTCTGACAATTTTATGTACCAATTCCAGCATCACATGATGGTTCTATATTGTTCAAAGTTGACTATAGACAAGTACATTTTTAACGGTTTATTAGGAAATGAGATTGATTGTTCATTCCTGTGCTATGCTATGAAAATTATCAAGTGATATTAGTGATTTGTGTATTGAATAGGAGATATGTAAGTGTAAGGGGAATGCATTTGTGATCAGTGGCAGTAGGAGTGTAGTATTTCAGGTTGAACACATGTTGTTGGAGCCTATAAGTTGTCCAATGTGGTGTAGTTAGAATTACTGATATAGTTTAAGCTAGGCAATCTCTGAAAAACTGAATTTTAACATTTGTTGTGTATGTGTGTGCTGACTATCTTTAGTATGATGAAGAAGAGTAGGGTAGCTATGTTTTTTAAGAAAATGGGACATCTCGATAGATTTGTTATTATAATCTTAGTCATTACTTCACATTAAAATAACATAAAACTAGCCTTGGAAAATGAAGTAATTGGGCAAATTAAAGCAGTGGCATGAGTATACTTGTACTGCTTCCCTTGTTCACAATATTGGTCGTGCATGCTATATTACCCTTTCAATCTGAGCCATACGTTATGTATCATTTGTAATTATGTTTAGTTAGTTGGTTCTCTGTGTCCATTTTGTCTGTTGCACTTATTTTTGTGCATAAAAATCACATTTGGCATTTGTAACACTTTTAATTGTTGGAACTGATATCAGAAACATTGTTTATCGTAGCTTTTCAAATCCCAGAGCTGCTTTACGGGGTGTTAATCTACATTTTGATATATGCAGCCAGTATACAGATCTGTATTTTGAATGGAAAATCTGCTTAAAAAACCGAATTGTTTAAATATAAAGTCTAATTACGTATGCAAACCAGTTATTTTGGATTTTGTGTTTTCTTTTATCTAATTTTGCCCTAAGATCATGTTCGGTTATTTGTATTACTGTTACCTGTATCAAACAGTTATTCAAATGGGCAGGATGCAAAAAATATTGGAAAAATAAATTTATTCTGAAAGTGAGTTTCAACCACTTCTTATATTATCTTTTAGTAGGAAAATACTTTTACGCATCTATATCAGACAGTTTGAATATTAAATTACATTTTCAGTTACTTATTTAATGATTTAATTTTAGCTTATGAAAAACACTAAAGTTTTTGGGATCATATTTTACTAGGAACCTTTAACTACATCTTTGAGATTATTGAAGCTTTTTTTTTTCTTTCTGCTCTAATGTTTAGAGGCAGATTGCTGAAGAATGAAATTAATGGCAGGAATGTTAGATATTGTGCACTAAGAAGTGAGAAAGTTATTTTATATTTACATGTTGCTATATTTATAGCTCAGTTGATTTTTAGACAGTAGTTTATATATTAATGTTATTTTTATTGGTAGTATTTCTTTGTTAAATGTAGATGTCAGCTTGGAAGAAGAAAATGAGAAACTTAGGGATCAGCGAATTTGTAAAATTTGTATGGATCAAGAGCTGGGAACTGTTTTTCTCCCCTGTGGTCACCTTTTGGCTTGTCCTCAATGTGCTCCAGCTCTGAAACATTGCCCACTCTGCCGAAAAGAGATTACTGGGATCGTAAGAACCTTTTTCTCATAGGATCATGTTGGCATCACTTTGACTGTATTTTCTTTTTAGATTATTATAACTTTAAAAAGTGTGAAATTTGGTAAGATCAAAGATGCTGATGTATTTAAGTTTATCAATACTTTTTTTTATTTGTAACAATAAAGGTACAGCTAAGGTACTGTAAGTTGAATTTATTCAAGTACTTTAGGCAGTGGTCCCCAACCAGTGGGCCGTGGACCGGTGCCGGTCCGTAGATCAATTGGTACTGGGCCGCACAAGAAATACAGTTTAGA